ACGGATATGCTGTGTCGGTATTAGAATTATTTGTTGGTGTTTTGATATATTAAGTCGGGTTTTTTATAGTTATAGTCGGTATTTTGAAATTAGGCCCTTTTCCTTTTTAATTTGTGAATGTTTTAAATAGTGAAAACGATGTGAGTTATTGTTAATTTGTGCATACATGAGTTTTTTAGTGTTGAATGTGCTATGTTTACATATTTCCATGAGTGTTCATTTTTTGTTCTTGCTGGGCGTTGTGTAATAGTTTCATACTTGTTTATATCGTAGATGGTTCGTAGTTGTTTTTTATTATGTGAGTCGCGTAATTCGATTTTTCGTTGTTGATCCTAAACGATGTTTAATGTCCTCGTGTCTGTCTTTTATTTTTCGTCCTGTCTGTCCGATGCAATTGTCTCCGCATTCGCATTTTAGTGGGTATATTCGATCTTTTCTTGTGGGTCATTCTTGTCGAATATTTCTTAGTAATTTTCCTATTGTGTTTGTGGTTTTCAGTGCTTTTATATGGCTAATTTGTTCAATAAGTTAGTTTGTATGTTTCTTCCCCAACGTATGTGAATGTGGTGTTGTTTTGTTTTTGAGTGCGTGTTTGGTTTATTATTTTGTTGAATGTGCTTGTGTTGTAGCTGTTATTGTTTGCTATGATTTGTATTCTTTTTAATTCGTTTTTGCACTTGTCTTTGGCTGGGTTGATTTTAGACGGCTGTGATGTGTATTTCAGCGCTGCCATTTTGTGGCAGTGTAGGTGGTGTAAAATTGTAGTTTGTCCTCTACTTTTCTGATTGTTAAGTCAAGGAAGTTTAAACTGTTAATTGTTTCTATTTCTGCGGTGAACTGTATGTTTTTATGTGATGAGTTCAGGTCTGTCAATGTGCTGTTTATGCTATTGTTGTTGCTGATGTCTACTATGGCGAATATGTCGACTACGTATCATTATATATATGTAATGTTATGTTCTTCCATAGTTTCATGAAGTATTTCAATTCAAAATTTTGTAAAAATACTTCTGGGTGTGTGACTCAAGTTAGATTACTCATTCCTTGTCCGTCTGGTGTATATATTGATGTGTACATTTTTACGTTGAATTTAAAGTAGTTTCGTTGTTTGTATTATGTTTGTGAATCATTGTGCGTATTCTTTGTCACGGTTTTTGTGTAGTGTCGTTTCTTTTCTGAAATTTGGTATGACAAATGATATTAATTTAGTGGTAGTTTTAATTTTTACGTCTTTAATTTTGTTAATTAGGTCCGTCGAGTTTTTCAAGTAGTGTGTGTCATTTAGTTTGAGGTGTGTTTGAATAATTTTGTGTTTTGAAAGTTTTTATGAGGGGGCTGGTTTGTAGTTTACAACTGGTCTCATGGTTTGGTTTCTGTATTTTTGGGAGTGCTGTGAGTTTGGATGGTTGTAGGTTCATGTTTGTATACTTCGAAGTTTTTTTTTATTTATGTGCGTATTTGTTAATTGTGTCTTTTTTGGTGATAATAGGTTGAAAAATATTAGACACGTGTTCGAGTGTACTTATTTTTATTTTTTAAAAAACTAATTTAACTACTCATAGGAAATTTGTTTTTGTGTCTTTGTTGTGCAGGAATTTCAAGGATATTATATAAGTTGATTTTTTAAAAATATATATACATTTTTAACAAAGGAAAATAGTAATGTCAGACATCTACGATATCCATGCTATGGATATCTTCTAAATATACTTTTGACGTCAGGTTAAAATATTTTTTTTAGCAAGAAAAACAGTTCGTTTGAACGTTGACTAGTGTTGACCCAAAAACTATAAATTTAACTAAAAATTTTAACTATAAATTTAACTATAAATTTTAAAGAAAATCTCACATTTTTCACCTCTTTGAAAATCACAAAAATAATGATAATTTTGAAACGACTCCACTGGTCCACAGAAAACTTTACAGGGGTTTAGAACCTTATACACATCACGAGATATCACAATCTGGGCTATCATAAATAAATCAGAACGGGAGATATAAAATAAAACGTTTGAAGAGTTTTTGTTGATTTCATCCTTATCTTATTCACATATAATGGCATAAAATGTAAACCTTATTGACACGCTGAAAAAAAGACAAATCCGGCTTTCTAACTCTCGAAATAGCTTTAGATAAAATCCAGAGGAGTACCATACCACTAAATAATAAAATTGTTGTGTTTTGAGATGTTTTCGTAATCAAAACGTTTTCGTTGTGATATTTATATTTATGGTTTGAATTCGATAATGAAATCTAATGTAAATAATAATTACTTTGTAAATAATGTTTATTTATTTAGGAATTCTTCCTGAGGTCTGCGATAGATGAATCCGATCACCCTGGTCCGTGTAGTAGAGCTGTTTTGGTTGGTCTGCAATACAAATCCACCACTGAAGATAGCGAAAGCAGAAACATTTGTATAAACCAAACACAGCGAAACCAGACGAGCCAAGTTATTAGAACCACCGAACTACTTGCACACTGCACATAGCTATATGCACCCCAGTTGCAGTTTCATCTGAAAGCCCGATTGAAAAATCACGGTAACTCTAAGGGTATTAGAATTCTGAGGTGGAAATACTCTGATTTGAGAGTGAACGTTATGTAATTTTCCAGCTGCATTGTCTGTTTTTATGTTGGGATATACGTCTCCTTCGGGAAAATGTGTTATGAGTCAAGTATAGTATTGAGGTACTTCATGATACAATAAAGGTTTTGAGAAGTCGTCACTGTTACATAAATCAAAAGCAGTTTTATTCCAAACTTTCGTCAACAACCTGCCATCCACCACATTACCTAATAATTCTCTGAATTCTCTGACTGAAGCGTACCTGGCCCCGCGACCATCTCACTACATCAGTCTCCTAGGATGGAGTCCACCAAACTCATCATATTGAAGGAATAATGGCATCCATGCTTGGTTGATGTTCATGTTTCCATGTTATTGTTTTTATGTATATAAATGCTTTAGTTGTTGCATCGAAGAACGGAGTTGTAAAAAAATAATTTTCATATCGAATTTAAACGTAAAGTTTTTTTTAAACATTTGTAAAACCAAAATTGGGTGCGGGATGGAAAGAATAGATAAATAGAAACAAAAACCTACATTTTGATCAATATTTAGGTGCTTAAAAGTATTAGGTTAATTTTTTTAACAGCTTGAAGAAAATATAACAGGACATGATGATGATCATAAGGAACGTGTCTGAAAAAAATTTAATCAAAATCGGACCAGTAGATTTCGAGATTATCTGTTACATACAAGCCAACTTTCTCTCTTTATAATATTAGTACAGACGATCATTGTTTAACGTAGGGGAGAATGAAGATACACATTTCATTAAATGATGAAAAAGTGAGATTAATAAGGAAAATTTAATTTCCTTAAAAGCAATATGTTTCTATTTTATTTCTATTCTAATTCGATTCTATTTTACAACTTAGTGTGACAAGTTAATTTTAATTTTTTTTTAATTTTAATTAAGTTTCGCAGTAAATCAGGGTACGGAGACTTCCGGGATGGGAGAAGTGCTTGCAGGTGTGCCACAAGGGTCAATACTAGCACCGCTGTTGTACTCAATTTTTACTTCCGATATGCCCACAAATGAGAATACACTTACCGCCACATACGCAGATGACACCACAATATTAACAGTCATCCCTCTTCTACACAAGCTTCACTTATGTTACAAAACCACATTAGCAATTGAAAAATGGAAAAATCTTTGAAAAATAAGTTTAACTCCTCAAAGTCACAACATATCCTTTACACTCCGTCGTGAGACTTATCCTAGCATATAACAATAGAATGAACCTGTTCCTCAATTTTTTGACAGTTCAGCTTTTTCATCCATCAAAACATATTACAGACGTTTAGTAAATTACAAAATCACACTAACACACAAATACGATTACTCCAGGCTTCATAATTACCAATTAAAGAATATGGATAAGAGACCTCTTAAATGATTAATAACATTTTATTAATCCGGAGCGGCTGCCAATGGGTAACTTTCTCTATAACACCCGTAATGCCACAAACAAAAATTATCCAATCTACTGGTTGTAGTATACATGTACAGAGTATACACAAATAAGTGAAGTAAAAAAGGCTGACAAGCTCTGCTGAAATTACGTGATTTCTTTTGTAGGTATTTGGAATTTTGGACCTGTAGTTTGGCCGTTTCTGACAGGGTTGTATAACCTCGCTGTTTTGGTTACTTTCCATTCCAATTTTAATCTTAATTCTGATTGTAATTTAAAATTTTATCATTGCTGAAGACGGATAATCCCGAAACGTCGATTTAAAAAAAATAAAAGATATAAAACCACATAGAAATGCTTTTCTTATAAAAATCATAAATTAATAAAACGTCGAAAAAATCTTTTACTCGATCGATGGTAAAAACGCTTATATAATCAAATTTAATTAAAATTTTCCTATCCTCAAATCCGACTGCGTAAGTTACCTTGGGTTCCACCTAGACTCACACCTAACATGGAATCAGCACATACGATTGAAACAAGACCTGAACAGACGCTACAGTCTACTCCACAAAATTATAGGACGACAATTCAAGCTATCAACGAAAAACTTACAAATTACAAAACGCTTACAGCCGATTTGGATATAGAGAATAGCATTTTGGGGAACCGGTAAAACTCCTAATATCCAACGCCACCAATTCTTCCGATATAAAGAACTCAGATCCCTTATGTCCGTATTATGTCTCCAATAACGACCCTTCACAACGACCTTAAAATTCCATTTATCCAAAATATAATCCCCCAAAAATTTACCAAGTTCCACAATAATCTCTCTTATCACCCAACAATCCCATAAGTCGGCTCAAGAGGAAATGGCCCCGCGTCCTCTTTTCTGAGAGGGTATGGAGTAAAGTTTATTCTGTGAAGTGAAGTGGGAGAATAATATTGATTCCCACAATATGTAAATAGTTAATCATAAATTGCAGATTATAATAAAATATTGAAAAAACTCACTTTCACTTGATACATCGTCGTGTTCAGACGCGTTGTTTGATGAAGCGACATCGATGTCGGGCTCTGGAGTCGTCGTCGGTTCATCTTTGCTCTCTTCAGATTCACAGTAGATAGTTCTAAGAAAACAACACACAGCAGACAAAATATGAATTAATTTGTAGTAAGAATTGGTAAATATTTATTTTTTGCAACATTCCGTCTGACCGGAAGTCTAAAATGAAATCGAGAGTGTTTCAGAATCAAAATGTTTAGCAAGTGGAAATGGACTTTTATTCAGCTTATTAGAGGCTTAAATAAACGGTGTTACTTCCGTACGTGCGAAAAAAAGCCGTTTAATTACAGTCACGGCCCGGTGGTCGTTCTGCTACGGCCTCGTTATACATAGTCTGTCTCTTGTGTTCATTGGTCGGAAAATTTGAAATTCTATTCGATTTTCATAATTTGTACAAAGCGAGAGATTAAATTCATGGATCGATAAGCGCTCATCACCGTTTGTTGTTCAAAGTAACCAAGGAAAGTGAATTCTGGGATCAAATGTTAAAACCGACTTGGCTTTCCTTTTTATTGCACAATACATTAAATGATTATGATTCACCCAATTCCCTGTTTAAAAAGTGACTCACATTTTAAATTTAAATACAATGAAGCTTTTGATTAACACGGAACATAATTGCTCATTAATAGGTTAAATATACCGAACAATGTTCTGGTCCTAGTGACCATGACTATGCTTTAATTCTTGTAACATCGAAAACATCATTTTTTCTCACCATTACTGCAAATGAAAATATTTCTTTAATATGCTAGATGAATCGACAAGTTTCTTACTCACTAATAATTTAGATCTCTGCATGATCTGGATGAAAATGAAAATTCAGTTATCTGGCAAGTTTTCGACCTATTTTATCATCAACAGAACAAAAAAAACTTTCTTTCTACGATAATTGTCTGTCTGCCTGCCTGCCTAATGTCTATTAATCTATTGGGTTGTCCGGAAAATAATGCAGGATTTTAAGTTTTCATTAAAAAAAATCTATATAAAATATTCTGTTTACGTTTACAGGATTACTCATTTTGTTTGTTTACCTCTGTAGCATTCCGCTACTTGGAAATAATTCAGTCATCCTTATAATGTCAAAGCGAGAATTTCGTACGATTTTCTTTTACGAGTTTAAACTCGGCCGAAGCGGAGCCCAAACGGCTAGAAACATTAACCAAGTCTGGGGCGAGGGTTGTGTTAATGAGTGCACTGTGCAAAGGTGGTTTAAAAAATTTCGGGAGGGAGATTTCAGCCTTGAAGATGAAGAAGGTCGTGGAAGGCCTTCCTCTCTTAATGATGATGTTCTGCGATCAGTGGTGGGTGCAGAGCAACTCAAAGTCAGTAAAACGACCGTCGCTGACCACCTCAAGGCGATTGGAAAAGTGAAAAAACTCGAAAATTGGGTTCCACACTCATTAAACGATCGCCAAAAAAATCAGCGCTTTGATGTTTGTGCATCACTTCTTTGTCGAAACAAAAATGACCCATTTCTGGCCAGAATTGTTACATGTGACGAAAAGTGGATTCTGGACAGTGGCTCGACAAAGGAGAAGCTCCAATACATTTTCCAAAGCCCCCAACTCATCAAAAAAAGGTAATGGTTACGGTATGGTGGGCTTCATTTGGTTTAATACACTACAGCTTCTTAAATCCTGGCGAAACCATCAATGCTGAATCATACTGTAACCAAATTAATACCATGCATCAGAAATTGGCAGTAATGAACCCCTCTTTGGTCAATCGGAAAGGGCCCATTTTGTTGCATGACAACGCTCGACCACATGTGTCACGTGTAACGTCACAAAAATTATTGGAGCTTGGCTATGAAACTTTGCCTCACCCACCCTACTCTCCGGACCTCTCGCCTACTGACTACCATTTTTTTAGACACCTGGACCACTACTTACAACACATAATATTCAAAAATCAAACGGAACTGGAAAATGCATTTATTGACTTTATCAATTCTAAAAATTCTGAATTCTACTCAGACGGAATTAATAAGTTACCAACACGTTGGGAGAAATGTATTGAGAGTATGGGAAATTATTTTGATTAAAGAACATTGCTTTAAAGTAACTAGTTTCTTTTTTTTTGTTTAATACCAAAATCCTGCATTATTTTCCGGACAACCCAATATTTTGCCAGGCAGACTCAGTCCCACCGTTGTCACACTCCTTGGCAATATTCAAATCATTAGCTGGTTCAATATTCAACCATCAATAACGTCATCAACGTCCTCGAGAACTGTCAATAAATAGGCACATCATCTATTAAAAACTGAATTGTGTCATTTTATAGACATCTTTAAGAGTTTTTCCTTGATGATGACCTTAAAATAGGACGAAAGCTTGGGAGATAATTTAATTTTCATTTTCATCCAGATCATGCAGAGATCCAGATTATTTAGTGAGAAAATATTCTGCTAATTCTGTATTTACACAACATGTGTTAATTAATTTTTAATAGCACGATTGTAATATTGTGTACCGATAAAGGTTGCTGATAAGTATACAAAATATGACGAATTATTAATCTTTGGGCCAATTTATCAAGAGCTTATATGACGCCATGCTATTTCTTGATATAGCATTCAAAGTGATATGTAGAATTTTAAAAACAAAAGGAGTATATTTCTCCGTTAATATCACTGTAAAGTACTTTTTTCAGGAATTTTTCAGTATTCCAGTTTTTGAATTTTTTATAAATGCATAAATAATACCTTCATTACACACAGATTTCTTGTATATTATTTTATTATTTTTCATTACACCAACAATCCACTTATTATGTTATGATATATTTTTAACGGATTGGTTAGTTTTACATCATGAACCTTTGATAATTGGTCGCGCGGATTTCAGCAACAATTGTAGATTCGTGCAATAAAATTGAAACGGGTACATACAGAAAGGGCAGAAATTAACAGAAAAAATAAAAACACTGTTGTAATCACCAAATGCTGAGATATATACGTAGTCAATATGTCGATTCAATCTATGACTATTTTTTAAGATTTGTGTGTGTGTGTGTGTGTGTGTGTGTGTGTGTGTGTGTGTGTGTGTGTGTGTGTGTGTGTGTGTGTGTGCAGATAGAAAGTGAGGTAGAGAGATGGAGGGGGGTTGGAGAAAGAGAGAGAGAGATAGATAGGTAGGTAGATAGATAGACAGAGAGAGAGAGAGAGAGAGTGAGAAAGAGAGAGAGAGAGAGAGAGAGTGAGAAAGGGAGAGAGAATGTGAGTGAGAGAGTGAGAAAGGGAGAGAGAATGTGAGAGAGAGATAGAGAATGAGAGAAAGAGAGAGATAGAGAAAGAGAGAAAGAGAGAGAAATGGATTGAGTTTGGGTGAGAGTGCGAGTGCCCGAGTGTGCTCACGTGTTCAGGATTATTTAGTGGCCTGTTGGATAATAAAAAGTAAATTTAAATATTGAAATAAAATTAAATACAGTTTCATCTAATGAACATTTTTCCCTATGAATGAAAATGAAAACGATTTATTCAGTCAGGTAGAATTAATACATGCAGTGAATGGAAAATGTAAATATCGGAAGTCACAGTAAAAGAGAAATTAAAGAACATTTCAAAGGTTTGTATAACTTATTTTCAATTTTTTTTTCTTTTCTGTTAAATCTGAACTCATCTTAAATAAATAAATACGTAAATATCCTATAATTTGAGTGTTGATTAATATTTTTTACATATTATCTGTTAAATTGAACTTAACTTGAAGTAAACGAAAGGTATTTTTTTCTTTATGTTTTGGTTGTTGAGCTAGTATAGTGGGTTAAAATCTTAGTGTAAAAATAACAGAGATTTTGGATTGGAAAGAGTGCATGTCCTGCTTGCAATTGACTTCACCTCATGAGGTATACTTAATTACAAATTAAATGAGAAAATTCTTTGCTTCTTTTTCAATTCAAATAGAAAGACTTACTCAATACAGAGAACTAGTATGAAGATGGCCCCCCAGATGTTCATGACACGGTTTTGAAGAACCGATCTTCCTTTTGGTTTTTCAGCTGTTGAACTTGGATCGTTATTTCTTGTTTTTCCTTTTTTAATCGCGGTCCTTCATTCTCGTGAAGAAAGCACTCACTGAACGCTTCTACTTACCTCCTGGCTCTTGGGGCCTTCACGCTCTCTTTACTTCAACTTCTATATCTTTCATCCACTCCTCCTCGACTAAGTAGTAATTACTATTGTCCTCAATTATTCAGAGTTCTCCACGCTCATCGGCCAGGTCGGATTTGTTCTTGGGCCAGCGGAGGAAAACGTTTAGATGGAATCGTTTGACCCCTCAAAAAATAAGCTCGTGCTTAAACGCTTAATTAAATAAACGGGCTTATGTTTTTAATTGTAAAACTGTGCAGAGAACGGGTTTGATATATCATGAAAACCATCAAAATACTGATTCGGCATATAAGTAAAAAATACTAAATTATAGCAAAACGAAATGCAAGGTAAGTACGCAATCAGTGATTTGAAATGTCAACATTAAAATTCAAAGGCGAAAATTGGCAACATTTATACTGTGCGATACTCGTAATCGCCTCGCTAGTGGTTTCGGGTTCCGAATCCCTGTAAATACTTTGCAATTTTATTACTTAGGAAAAAAGCAGTGTAAAACAGCCATCACTAGTCCGCGACACCCAACCTTATGCCTTATGCTCTGACAGGATTCACTTATTGTGATTTCATGACATGTGTCAATTTTACAAATAAAGCTTATTAAAAAATCCACTTTGATTTAAGAATTTATTAAAATACTAGAACATATGATAGCATAAATAAAACCAAAATAATTTCTGTTCGCAAACGAGTATCCCTTGTCAAGTTGGTTGATAACATTTCCCCATACAGTCACTATAAGAGGCACATCGGCTTTCTGACATCCTTTGTATTTCGTTACCAATCCGAATAATGAAGTTACTTTACTTCTATAAATCAATATAGATCCGGTTAAGCAGAAAGGAGGCCAAGAGTAATTTCCTTTGTCGAAGCAGGCGTGCGTTCTCGAATTGTAGAAGGGACATACCTTATCACACAAAAGCTTACACATCGAAGCATTAACGGGCGTA